CATTCCCACTAACAGTGTGTGAGGGTTCCAGTTACTGTATTTCATATCCTTGCCAACATTTGGTGTTGTCAGTCATTTTAATTTTAGCCATTCTGGCAGATGTGCAATTGTATTTCACTGTGGTTTTTACATTTTTGTACCGACTAATGATGTTGAGCATGTTCTTATGTGCTTATTTGCCATTCACAAATCTTATCTGTCTCTTTGTATCAGGGTCTAGAAAACTATGGCCCACTGACCAAATCTAGCCCATGGTCTGCTTTTCTAAAGTTCTTGACTTAGGAATGTGTTTTATGTTTTTAAGGAGTTGCTTAAAAATCCAAATGATTGTATGTGGCCTGCAAAACCTAAACTATCTTACTGAAAAGAATTTCTGACCCTGCTACGTATTTAAAATATCTTGTACATAGCATATTGTCGGGTATTGATTTTTGAATCCATTCTGATAATCTCTTCCTTTTAGTTGGAGTTTTTTTTTTGTTTTTTTGTTTTCCTTTTTTGTCTTTTTTCGTGTCCGGCAACGGATCGCAACCCTCAGTGTCGCGCCCGTCCCATACTGGGACCGGCAACGGGATCGCAACCCTCAGTGTCGCGCCCGCACCTCGCTCAGCCAGTGAGTGGGAACCGGTCTGTATGTGGGATCCGAACCCGCGGCGGGAGCGCCGCCATGCTCCCAAGCGGCACACTGTAGCAGTGCGCCACCGGGCCGGCCCTACTTGGAGTTTTTACTTCAGTAACATTTGATATAATTATTGATAAGATTGAATCTATGTCTACCATTTTATTACTTAATTTGTTTTTATCTCTGTTTTTGTTTCTCTGTTCCTCTTTTCCTGCCTTTGTCATTATTTATATATTTTTAGAATTCGATGTTAAGTCATTTATTGCTTTTTAGCTCTACATACTTCTTTATAGTATTTTTAGTGGTTTCTCTAGGGATTATAATCTACCTCCTTAAATTTTTACAAATTACCTAAAATTAATATTGTACCACTTGATATAAAATGTAGAAACCGTGTAGCTACCATTTACTACCTGTTGTC